CCCCCACCCCCGCTCCTCTCCTCTTCGCACTCTAAATCCTCCCATAACTCCACGCCTGCAATAGGAAATCGGGAATAAATCTTCCCCGCTTATTGCCGCTACACAGCAAATCTACTTGTGGGTGTGGATTATCGTCTATAGAGTGGATGTATGGGGAGGGTCTACCAAACCGGAGGGCAGGGGGATTGCTGGATGTATTAAAGGGCAACATATATAGATAGATAGATAATAGATAGATAGATAGATAGATAGAGATAGATAGATAGATAGATAGATAGATAGATAGATAGATAGATAGATAGATAGATAGATAGATAGATAGATAGATAGATAGATAGAAAGATAGATAGATAGATAGATAGATAGATAGATAGATATAGATATGATATCCTCCCACAGGAACAGTAGATCCCCCAGCCAAAAATGGACCATCCGCAACACAATACCCCCCCCCTCCATCAACAATAGACCTACAGCGGCAGATCTCATCGCAACCAGCATCAATAGACGCTCCAGCAGCCAATAACATTAGACCCTCCCAGCAACAGTTGCCCCCCTACCAACAGGAGACCCACACTCAGCGTTAACAGGACCCCACCAGCAACAATGTTGTGTCTACAAAGGAGCTCTTGTCCATAATGGGCGTGGTACTGACACAGCTCCAGATGATCCACATTGGCTCACAATTGATATGATCCAAAAATATTTATTATTATTATACAGTATTTATAAAGCGCTGATAGTTCGCTCAGCGCTGTACATTACAAAGGGGGACAGAACATGTGACAGAACAATACCAATACAATGCAAAACATGAGGGGATCGAGGGCCCTGCTCTTTCGAGCTTCCAATCTAGGATAGACAGAATAAAGGTGAACAAAGCCCCTGGACCGGATGGCATACACCCACGGGGCCTTAAAGAGTTGAGCTCTGTCATTTCAAAGCCATTGTCGTGCACCAGGAGGAACCCAGGACCCACTGCACCAGGAGGAACCCAGGACCCACTGCACCAGGAGGAACCCAGGACCCACTGCACCAGTGTAACGTCTGACAATGGGCCCAAGGATTTCATCCCGATACCTAATGGCAGTCAGGGTGCCATTGTCTAGCCTGTAGAGGTCTGTGTGTCCCTCCATGGATATGCCTCCCCAGACCATCACTGACCCACCACCACAACGGTCATGCTGAACCATGTTACAGGCAGCAGAACATTATCCACGGCTTCTCCAGACCCTTTCACGTCTGTCACATGTGCTCAGGGGGAACCTGCTCTCATCTGTGAAAAGCACAGGGCGCCAGTGGTGGACCTGACAATTCTGGGTTTCAGTGGCAAATACCAATCGAGCTCTATGGTGCCGGGCAGTGAGCACAGGGCCAACTAGAGGACGTCGGGCCCTCAGGCCACCCTCATGAAGTCTGTTTCTGATTGCTTGGTCAGAGACATTCACACCAGTGGCCTGCTGGAGGTCATTTTGTAGGGCTCTGGCAGGGCTCATCCTGTTCCTCCTTGCACAAAGGAGCAGATACTGCTCCTGCTGATGGCTAAGGACCTTCTACGGCCCTGTCCAGCTCTCCTAGAGGAACTGCCTGTCTCCTGGAAGCTCCTCCGTGCTCTTGTCTCCTGGAATCTCCTCCATGCTCTTGTCTCCTGGAATCTCCTTCATGCTCTTGTCTCCTAGAATCTCCTCCATGCTCTTGTCTCCTGGAATCTCCTCCATGCTCTTGTCTCCTGGAATCTCCTCCATGCTCTTGAGACTGTGCTGTGAGACACAGCAAACCTTCTGGCAATGGCACGTATTGATGTGCCATCCTGGAGGAGTTGGACTGCCTGTGCAACCTCTGTAGGGTCCAGGAAAACTGGGGACCACTGAAAACTTCATACTGTGCATTTCCAGAAATCCATACCGAGTTTTTTATCTTTTTTTCTATCCGTCAATGCTAACCGCTCCAGGCGTTATGAACGGCGCGTCATCCTATCACTAGTCCTTTCAAGCTGGAACTTAATTAACTAATTACTCTTAATGCAGAAAATTCAGAGACGCCGGGCAATCACTATACTGTTAAGATGTCGTTGGGTTTTATTGTGCAATTTGTCAGCTGCGGATTCTTGATTGAGTTTTGCCACCATTTTTGTAATCACTTGACAGTTTCAATTTGATTTTTTTTTCTTCTCTTTTTTTTTTTTTGTCTGCAAAAAGAAAAAAAAATGTTCTTTATAATATAATTTGTATTCTTGGGCTCTGCTTTCATCACTTGTAGGATTAAACCAGAGAGGTTCTCGGTGGCTTTGGGAAAGCTCATCTGAGAAAAATACATGGCTGGGTCGTATTGCCGATGCTAAATTGGAATTGTCTTTTTTTATTACCTGGCTTCCTAATTTGCAGAAAAAGCTTAAAGATTGTTCTCTGACTTCCTTTTCTATTTTATTTTACTTTGGAAGAAACTCAATCTTGGCGAGGGCAGTGTCTTCGTCTGAAGGGCTGCGTTCAAAAAAGAAAAATGTATTTTTGAGGGTTGGCTTCACGCCTTGTATTACTGTAATGCGGGGCCGGATCTGATCTGGGGGTGCAGTATAAAAAGTCAAGAGTGTGACAGAGATGCAGGGAGCCAGTGTTCTCCATTTACAAGTCACATCATCTGACAGGTAGTACAGAGGAAGGGCAGTAGTGAACAGGGAACTCTATTATGTATTAGGCTGTCATTAGATCAGGGCCATAGATAAGGGGGTACCACCAGTCTTCCTGTATGGGGCAGGGGCGGACTGACCATTTGGAAGCTTGGGCACTGCCCGAGGGCTGGGGGTCAGTAGGGGACCCCATGAGATGCCCCTGGTACCTTTTTCATAGGTTTTTTTTGAGTTTGGGCAAGGACACAGGGGCCCCATGATCCCCTATTGCCCAGGGGCCCCATGAGTTGTCAGTCCGCCCCTGGGTACAACCAGTCTTCCTGTATGGGGCAGGGGCAGACTGACCATTTGGAAGCTCAGGCACTGCCCGAGGGCCGGGGTCAGTAGGGGGCCCCATGAGATGCCCCTGGTACCTTTTTCATAGGCTTTTTTGAGTTTGGGCAAGGACACAGGGGCCCTATGATCCCCTATTGCCCGGGGGCCCCATGAGTTGTCAGTCCGCCCCTGGGTACAACCAGTCTTCCTGTATGGGGCAGGGGCGGACTGACCATTTGGAAGCTCAGGCACTGCCCGAGGGCCCGAGGTCAGTAGGGGGCCCCATGAGATGCCCCTGGTACCTTTTTCATAGGCTTTTTTGAGTTTGGGCAAGGACACAGGGGCCCCATGATCCCCTATTGCCCGGGGGCCCCATGAGTTGTCAGTCCGCCCCTGGGTACAACCAGTCTTCCTGTATGGGGCCTAGGTCAGCAGAGGGGCCCAGGCAGCTGGGTGAATATGATGTGGACAGGAGGGTGATAGACATGGCTCGGGGGCGATAACTGGAACCGATCCCTTTATGGCTCTCTCTGCAGCAGCTGAAATCGGGCTTCTTCTCTCCATCCCGCTGGCTTTCAGCTCCTGCAGACAGATACAGGAAATAAGTTCCAGTAATTGCCCCCCCCCCTCCATGGTGCACCCATCACCCTCCCTGTGCACCATGTATTTCCTCCTGCTGTCCAGCAACTCCCCCCCCCCCCCGTGTGCCCCCATCCATGTGCAGTGCTGCCGGCTTCCCTCCTCTCTTTCCCACTGGCAGCTGCATAGGATCCTTCAGGATGGAGAGTGGGGTAAGGGCCCGTTCAGGGGCGGACTGACCATTCGAGCACTCGGGCACTGCCCGACGGCCCGGGGTCAGTAGGGAGCCCATGAAATGCCCCTGGTACCTTTTTTATAGGCTTTTTTGAGTGTGGGCAAGGACATAGGGGCCCCATAATCCCCTATTGCCCGGGGGCCCCATGAGTTGTCAGTCCGCTCCTGGGCACGTTAAATATGTCACATTTACCAGGCTCTTCCTTTCCTGAATGAACACAATGAGTGATCGGTACCAATAACTCACTGTGTTCATTCGTAACTGAAGCATAGTAAATTGTGTTTTTTTGGGGGGGGGGCTGTCAGGTTGACTGTATGGGACCCCGTGGTTTCTAATAGAAGCCCTGTTAGGTTAGGATGATTAAACTTCTGCCCCGTTACACCAAGTGTCCCCCCTTACATCAAAGTGCCCCCTTTAGAGTCATGGCCAAAAATATTGCCCCCCTGCATTCCTGTCAGATAATGCACCACTTCTCCCAGAAAATTGTTGCAATTACAAATGTTTCGGCATTCTCATGTTTATTTCTTGTGTTTGTATCGGTATGACACAAAAAAGTGGAGAAACAAAAAGCCAAATCGGACACATTCTGGACAAAACCTCAAAAATGGACTGGACAAAATTATTGGCACCCTCCATGTAATATTTGGTAGCACACCCCTTGGAAAAAAATAACTGAAATCAATGGCTTCCTGTAACTATCAATGAGGTTTTTCCACCTCTCTACTGGAATTTTGGATCGCTCTCCTTTCGTCAACTGCTCCAGGTCTCTCAGAGTGGAAGGATTCCTTTACCCAACTGCTGATCTGAGATCTCTCCACAGGAGCTCTATGGGATTGAGATCTGGACTCATTGACACCAGGTTAAGTGTAGCAAAATAATTTAGCACCCAAAGTGATTAACAGTAGTGACTAGGCAAAAGACTGACATCCACATCAGCATAAATAGTAGCAAGGCCACCACAACTGCAAGCAGCAGTGAGTAGTAGTAAAGTTGCTGGCACAAACTGGCAGAGTGCATTTATGGTGCCGATTCTAGTCCTAGTCCGACTGGGTATACCTTGTCCAAAAGAAAAGGAGGATGGTTGAGAAGGGGGCAGGGGAACAAAGGGGACTTGCAGAATAATTATTATGGGCGGGACAACCTTTGAGATGTTCTTCTGCTGGCTATCATTGGGGCCCTCTAAGAGTTAGGGTGCACTTAAAGTGTTACTAAACCCAGGACCCTGCATTCACTATATCCGCTCTCCCCCGGACCCTGCATTCACTATATCCGCTCTCCCCGGACCCCGCATTCACTATATCTGGTCTCCCCGGACCCTGCATTCACTATATCTGCTCTCCCCGGACCCTGCATTCACTATATCCGCTCTCCCCGGACCCCGCATTCACTATATCCGCTCTCCCCGGACCCCGCATTCACTATATCTGCTCTCCCCGGACCCTGCATTCACTATATCTGCTCTCCCCGGACCCTGCATTCACTATATCCGCTCTCCCTGGACCCTGCATTCACTATATCCCTCTCTCCCCGGACCCTGCATTCACTATATCCGCTCTCCCCGGACCCCGCATTCACTATATCCGCTCTCCCTGGACCCTGCATTCACTATATCTGCTGCTCACCCCGGACCCTGCATTCACTATATCCGCTCTCCCTGGACCCTGCATTCACTATATCCGCTCTCCCCGGACCCCGCATTCACTATATCCGCTCTCCCCGGACCCCGCAAATTCACTATGTCCCTCTCCCCGGACCCTGCATTCACTATATCCGCTCTCCCCGGACCCCGCATTCACTATATCTGCTCTCCCCGGACCTTGCATTCACTATATCTGCTCTCCCCGGACCCTGCATTCACTATATCTGCTCTCCCCGGACCCTGCATTCACTATATCCGGTCTCTCCCCGGACCCCGCATTCACTATATCTGATCTCCCCGGACCCTGCATTCACTATATCCGCTCTCCCCGGACCCTGCATTCACTATATCCGCTCTCCCCGGACCCTGCATTCACTATATCTGGTCTCCCACAGTACACAGAACGTGGAAATGCAAATATATTTTAGTAAATATAAACTGCTAAATACCTTTTCTCATTAGCAGTTAGAGCAGTCTTGTGACTTCTGTGTCCAGCCCACCACTAGCTAAAGCTTGTAGGAGTTTTCTTTCTGCTCTAGGAGGATGGAAATCCCCTGACCTGTCTGGACAGTGCTGATTGGCCCTGTGCTAATCACATCACAAGAAAATAAAAAAACCCTCTCTAGCAATACGCACCAAACTGAGCATGTGCATGCCTACGGTTCAGTCTGGAGATAAGAGGTGGTTGCTTGAAAAAGGAGAGGAACAGAGAAAAAAGGATCAAGCAGGTTTTACACAGTGCAGAGGATAATCCCATTGGTTCCACACTGAGTATAACAAGCATGCTTTGCTGCATATATAGACTTACTGTTGGGGCTTTAGTGACACTTTAACAACAGTCCCAGTTCAGGGGCAGACTGACAACTCATGGGGCCCCCCCATAAGTTGTCAGTCTGCCCTGGTGCAGACACTTTTACCCCCTTCTTGCCCAGGCCAATTATCAGCACTGTCACACTTTGAATGATTTTGGACTTTGGACTGGTGGTAACCCCTTACCCACGGCCCTGGGCACAGGGCTGTCTTAATCAGGGGTGGACTGACAACTCATGGGGCCTCCGGGCAATAGGGGATCATGGGGCCCCTGTGTCCTTGCCCAAACTCAAAAAAGCCTATGAAAAAGGTACCAGGGGCATCTCATGGGGCCCCCTACCAGGGGCGGACTGACAACTGATGGGCCCTCGGGCAATAGGGGATCATGGGGCCCCTGTGTCCTTGCCCAAACTCAAAAAAGCCTATGAAAAAGGTACCAGGGGCATCTCATGGGGCCCCCTACTGTCCCGGGGCCCTCGGGCAGTGCCCGAGTTTCCAAATGGTCAGTCCGCCCCTGTCCCAGTTAACCTGCATGTAGTGTTGGTACTGCATAGGTACAGTATATTCTCAACATAGGTGCCAGTATGCTGGTACGGTCTCCTGATAGCGGAGGAATATCCAGACAGAGGTTCTCTTTAACTCCCAAGAGGAAAAACTTTCCTGGCCAGACTTAATAAAAATCACCTCTCCACACCTCCTACTGTACAGTGCATATTGGGATCTGTAGTATAAGGAGCCCATTGGACCCATTATATAGCTGCCGTCTCAAACTACAACTCCCAGGATGCTCAACTATGCCCTGCATAGAGGTCTATGGACTTGCTGGGCTTTAGCACTCCCCCTGCTGGACGGAAGAGAACGGTGCAGCAAAGCATCACTATCTCAGAAGGAAAGAATAAAAGTCTCCTTGTCCATATTGCTGCAGCCCAGCCCCCGGCTACATTTATTTTGTATAGGAAGAAAGAATCAAAAAGGCTTATTTTATTCTTTGCTGTATATTGTGCAACTATTTTATCTCAAAATGTGAAAGCCGCCCGTTCTGAAGCTGACACGGGTCCTAACCCCTTGCCACTGCATCCAAAACTACAACACAAATATGTACAGGCTTCAGAAATTTTTTGTCTTCTACCATTCATTGATCCTACTGTAACTGCAGGTGATTTAATTCAGGATCTTCTGAGTTGGCAACACTCGCCCGAGTTTATTTATATCCTCAGCTGAGTCTATTGAGTGATGTCAGCGTGATCCCCATGGTGTTAAGACTCAGTCATATGGGAAGTTTGTAAAAAGAGGAAAAAAAAATAAAAAATAAACTGAGAAAAAAAATAGGGGGAAGTAGATGCGTAGGCCGTTGAAAAAGCTCACGCATTCCAGCACACTCACCAAGAATTAACAACGCCGGGCACGCTCGGGGTGTTTGCAATCTGTTCAGCTATTGACAGTTTGGATTGTTCTGTGGCATTTAATCAGGAAGCCAACGAAAATTAAAAGGAAGCCGCAGTTTTCTTGTCGAGTTCCGTGAGTTCCAACTGTGCTTTTATTCCATCCTCCCCTCTCGCAGATTGCGCTGGACTGAAACAAACAAAATGCTGGGAGATTATTGGGTAGGATGAATAATCGCTTAGCGCTCCTGGATTTGGTTTATTTGTTTGCCTCCTTTATTTGAAAATATGTTATAAGCTGAAGCATGTAGAGGTTCGGGATTCGGCTCATCGTAATTCATGGTTGGAGAAAGTCAATCACTGGCAGGTGGTGTGCAATGGCTCCAAAGAGGTTACTCTCAGCACAAACAGGGCGCCCTCTAGGTAGGTGACCCAGAGTATGGATTCCAGGTATAGAAAGTCTAATGAGAGTGCCAGACGAAAGAACCAAGAATTTTTACTCTCAGCACAAACAGGGCGCCCTCCAGGTAGGGGACCCAGAGTATGCAGTCCAGGTATAGAAAGTCTAATGAGAGTGCCAGACCAAAGAACCAAGAATTTTACTCTCAGCACAAACAGGGCGCCCTCTAGGTAGGTGACCCAGAGTATGGAGTCCAGGTATAGAAAGTCTAATGAGAGTGCCAGACCAAAGAACCAAGAATTTTTTACTCTCAGCACAAACAGGGCGCCCTCTAGGTAGGGGATCCAGAGTATGGAGTCCAGGTATATAAAGTCTAATGAGAGTGCCAGACCAAAGAACCAAGAATTTTACTCTCTCAGCACAAACAGGGCGCCCTCTAAGTAGGGGACCCAGAGTATGGAGTCCAGGTTAGAAATTTTAATGAGAGTGCCAGACCAAAGAACCAAGAATTTTACTCTCAGCACAAAACAGGGCGCCCTCTAGGTAGGGGACCCAGAGTATGGAGTCCAGGTATAGAAAGTCTAATGAGAGTGCCAGACCAAAGAACCAAGAATTTTACTCTGAGCACAAACAGGGCGCCCTCTAGGTAGGGGACCCAGAGTATGGAGTCCAGGTATAGAAAGTCTAATGAGAGTGCCAGACCAAAGAACCAAGAATTTTACTCTCAGCACAAACAGGGCGCCCTCTAGGTAGGGGACCCAGAGTATGGAGTCCAGGTATAGAAAGTCTAATGAGAGTGCCAGACCAAAGAACCAAGAAATTTTACTCTCAGCACAAACAGGGCACCCTCTAGGTAGGGGACCCAGAGTATGGAGTCCAGGTATAGAAAGTCTAATGAGAGTGCCAGACCAAAGAACCAAGAATTTTACTCTGAGCACAAACAGGGCACCCTCTAGGTAGGGGACCCAGAGTATGGAGTCCAGGTTTAGAAAGTCCAATGCGAGTGCCAGACCAAAGAACCAAGAATTTTACTCTCAGCAAAACAGGGCGCCCTCTAAGTAGGGGACCCAGAGTATGGAGTCCAGGTATAGAAGGTCTAATGTGAGTGCCAGGCCAAAGAACCAAGAATTTTACTCTCAGAGTATGGAGTCCAAGTATAGAAAGTCTAATGAGAGTGCCAGACCCAAAGAACCAAGAATTTTACTCTCAGCACAAACAGGGCACCCTCTAGGTAGGGGACCCAGAGTATGGAGTCCAGGTATAGAAAGTCTAATGAGAGTGCCAGACCAAAAGAACCAAGAATTTTACTCTGAGCACAAACAGGGCACCCTCTAGGTAGGGGACCCAGAGTATGGAGTCCAGGTTAGAAAGTCCAATGAGAGTGCCAGACCAAAGAACCAAGAATTTTACTCTCAGCACAAACAGGGGCCCTCTAAGTAGGGGACCCAGAGTATGGAGTCCAGGTATAGAAGGTCTAATGTGAGTGCCAGGCCAAAGAACCAAGAATTTTACTCTCAGAGTATGGAGTCCAAGTATGAGAAAGTCTAATGAGAGTGCCAGACCAAAGAACCAAGAATTTTACTCTCAGCACAAACAGGGCGCCCTCTAGGTAGGGGACCCAGAGTATGGAGTCCAGGTATAGAAGGTCTAATGTGAGTGCCAGGCCAAAGAACCAAGAATTTTACTCTGAGCACAAACAGGGCGCCCTCTAGGTAGGGGACCCAGAGTATGGAGTCCAGGTATAGAAAGTCTAATGTGAGTGCCAGCCAAAGAACCAAGAATTTTACTCTCAGCACAAACAGGGCGCCCTCTAGGTAGGAACCCAGAGTATGGAGTCCCAGTATAGAAAGTCTAATGAGAGTGCCAGACCAAAGAACCAAGAATTTTACTTTCAGCACAAACAGGGCGCCCTCTAGGTAGGGGACCCAGAGTATGGAGTCCAGGTATAGAAAGTCTCATGAGAGTGCCAGACCAAAGAACCAAGAATTTTACTCTCAACACAAACAGGGCGCCCTCTAGGTAGGGGACCCAGAGTATGGAGTCCAGGTATAGAAAGTTTAATGAGAGTGCCAGACCAAAGAACCAAGAATTTTACTCTCAGCACAAACAGGGCGCCCTCTAGGTAGGGGACCCAGAGTATGGAGTCCAGGTATAGAATGTCTAATGAGAGTGCCAGACCAAAGAACCAAGAATTTTACTCTCAGCACAAACAGGGCGCCCTCTAGGTAGGGGACCCAGAGTGTGGAGTCCAGGTATAGAATGTCTAATGAGAGTGCCAGACCAAAGAACCAAGAATTTTACTCTCAGCATAAACAGGGCGCCCTCTAGGTAGGGGACCCAGAGTGTGGAGTCCAGATATAGACGATCTAATGAGAGAGCCAGACCAAAGAACCAAGAATTTTTTACTCTCAGCACAAACAGGGCACCTGCTAGGTAGGGGACCCAGAGTATGGAGTCCAGGTATAGAAAGTCTAAAGATTTTTTTTGAATTCTTGGTTCTTTGGTCTGGCACTCTCATTAGACATTTCTATACCTGGACTCCATACTCTGGGTCACCTACCTAGAGGGCGCCCTGTTTGTGCTGAGAGTAACCTCCCTGGAGCCATCCCCCAACCCCCAAATAGTAGTTGCCATGTACAATTATTGTGAACCGTGGGTATGCTTGTGGAGCCGCTCGAGGCTGACAGCAGACAAAGATCACCCCGCTGGCAGAGAAAGGAAGAGGGAAGCAGCGTCCCAAGTATCTTCAGAAACTTGACAATGTAGATGAGGATGAACGCTGCTCAAACTGATCCCCCG